CCCCCCCGCCCCGAGAAAGAGAGGGACATTCCTAAGCTTCCTAGGTTAGTAGGAGGTTCCTGGAGCAGAATACTTTCTGCCTGGGGCTTCTAGGTGACCAGTGTCCAGGGGAGAAATATGCTAAGAAGAGACTACTGTTGTGGTGGGTCCGTAGGCAGAGACACGTCTTATGGAATTATTATAGGCACCCAGCATCCTATAATCCAGGGCCGGAAAGGAAATGGAAAGATATCAAGTTTTTCTCCCATAGAAAAGCCACCATCTCCTGGCATTGATCCATCTGAAAGGAATTTGGCAACAAAGTAGCAATTTATCAGCAGTCATTTCCCGAATGCTTTCTGGGTAGGACTTTGATGTATGTGCAGGGGCTGTTGGAGGTCAAGAGAGCCACAGGACACTCCAGGGTTCCTAGAAAAGTAAAATGTAGAAATGACAAGTTTCCAAACTCGCTGTGATATCTTTGATGCGCACGTTGGAAGTGTAATGCTTTTATGCTCCACGTTATGGGTCTCCGGGGAATTGCAAATTCATACAATGAGATACCTATCACTACAGACCTATTGGAATGGCCAAAATCTGGAACACTGATGATACCAAATATTGGTGAGGATACAGAGCAAGAGGAACGCTCATACATTGCTGGTGGGAGTGCAAAATGGTACAGCCACTTTGGAAGACAGTTTGGCGGTGTCTTACAAAACGGAACACACTCTTACTACTTGATCCAGCAATTGTGTTCCTTGGTATTGATCCAGATGAACTGAAACCCATGTCCACACAAAAAGTGGCACACAGATGTTTCTAGCAGCTTTATTTATAATTGCCAAAACTTGGAAGCAGCCAAGATGTCCTTTAGTAGATGAATAGATAAATAAATTGTGGGACATCCAGACAATGGAATATTATTAGCATTAAAAAGAAATGAGTTATCAAGCCAGGAAAAGACACAGAGGGACCATAAACGCATAATTATGAGTGGAAGAATCTGAAAAAGCTGCATACTATGTGGTTCCAACTTTATGATATTATGGAAAAAGCAAAACTGTGGAGACAATAAAAAAAAATCAATGGTTGACAGGGGATGGGGAAGGGAGGTAAATGTGTGGAGCATAGTGGGTTTGTAAGGCAATGAAAATATACAGGATAATATTATACTTGATCTTAGCCAAAAGGCCGAGAAGCGATCTAGATAGTATTATAATGATAGAAATATGTTATACATTTGTCCAAACCCATAGAATATATGATTCCAGGAGTGAAACCTAAGATAAATGATGGACTTTGGGTGATGATAATGTGTCAATGTAGGTTCATCAATTGTAAAAAATGTACCGCCGTGCTGGGGGATGTTGATCATGGGGGAGGTTATGCACGTGTGGGGGCAGACAGTATATGGGAAATCTCTGTAACACCCTCTCAATTTTGTTTAAACTGGAAACTACTCTGAAAAAAAAAAAGTCTTATGTATCATATGATCTCACTGATATGAGGAATTCTTAAT